TTTTTTTTTTTTTTTTTGGTTGCAGCCATCATTGTTGTTTGGCGGGCCCGGGCTGGATTCAAACCCACCACCTTAGGTGTATGTGGCTGGCACCTTAGCCACTTGAGCCACAGGCACTGAGCCAAGGATTTCTTATGATTGGAGGCCAAGTAGGATGGCCCAGACCTATAATCCTAGCACACTGGGAGACCGAGGAGGGTGGATTGCTTGAACTCAAGAGTGTGAGTATGAGACCAGCCTGAGCAAGAGTGAAACTCATCTCTACTAAAAATAGAAAAACTAGCCAGTGTTGTGGTGGTCACCTATGTCCCAGCTACTTGGGAGGCTGAGGCAAGAGGATTTCTTTTTTTGGAGACAGAGTCTCACTTTGTTGCCCTCAGCAAGTGCCCTAGCATCACAGCTCACAGCAACCTCAAACTCTTGGGCTCAAGTGATTTTCTTGCCTTAGCCTCCTGAGTAGCTGGGACTACAGGTGCTTGCCACAATGCCCTGCTATTTTTTAGAGATGAGGCCTCTTGCTCAGGTTGATCTTGAACTGATCTGAAGCAGTCCTCCCACCTCAGCCTCCCAGAGTACTAGGATTACAGGTGTGAGCTCCACCTTATGACCTTGGCTCTTGACTGTTCTGCTTTTGCTTGGACTGGACCACTTCCACCTCTTGGTAGCCATTGCTTTGATTGTGCTTTGTCTTTAGAATCATACTGGTAAAGCCATTTTTCATCTCCTTTTACAATTGAAGAAATGCTTCAAGATCTTCATCCTACTGGTGTAACATTTCCATTGAAAGTTCTCTTGTCTGCAGCTGCTCTGGGTATAAAAATGGTTTTGGTACCTGTAGAGTGGAAAGTTTGCTCAACTTTGATTTTTCAGTTTGACAGGCTGAACCAGTTGAGATGTCTGTGGTGTTGGCTATTGATTCTGCTGTTTTTTTTTTTTTTTTTAAGAGACAGAGTCTCACTTTATTGTCCTTGGTAGAGTGCTGTGGCATCACAGCTCACAGCAACCTCCAGCTCTTGAGCTTAGGCAGTTCTCTTGCCTCAGCAAGAGTAGCTGGGACTACAGGCTCCCATCACAACACCTGGTTATTTTTTCTGTTGCAGTTTGGCCGGGGCCGGGTTTGAACCTGCCACCCTTGTTATATGGGACCAGTGCCCTACTCACTGAGCCACAGGCACCGTCCTGTTTCTGCTATTAATTGTTGGTCCTTTTCAATTAGAGCAAAAGCAAAGTTAATTTTTTTCTCACAAATCAATATGGATAGTTTGCTGCTTGGGGTTTCATCTTCAACATCTTCTCATCCCTACTTAAAAGACGAGCTATCCATTTGTAAACAATGATTTCTTTGGAGCATTGTCCCCATAAGCTTTTTGTAAAGCATCAGTGGTTTCACCATTTTTCTTTCTTTTTTTTTTTCTCTTCTCTTTTTCTTTTTCTTTGTCTTCTTTAAGGCAGAGTCTCACAATGTCACCCTTGCTAGAGTGCTGTGGCATCACAGCTCATAGCAACATCAAACTTTTAGGCTTAAGCGATTCTCTTATTTCAGCTTCCCAAGAAACTGGGACTACAGGCTCCTGCCACAACACCTGGCTGTTTTGTCATTGTTGATTTTAGCTGGCCTGGGCTGGGTTCGAACCTGCCAGCCTCAGTGTATGTGGCCGGAGCCCTACCCACTGAGCTAGGGGCGCTGCATTTTTGTTTTTGTTTTGAGATAATCTTACTGCCCTCGGTAGAGTGCCATGGTGTCGTAGCTCACAACAACTTCTAACTGCTGGGCTCAAACGATTCTCTTGCCTCAGCTTCCCAAGTAGCTCAGACTGTGGGCACCCACCACAACATCTAGCTATTTGTAGAGGCAGCATCTTGCTCTGGCTCAGGAATACAGGCATGAGCCACCATGCCCGGCCAGTTTCACCATTTTTCTACCCAAGCTTCACTGTAAATTTGTTGTTCATACATGCCTCAGTTTCAGCAGAACTCAAATTGCTCTGATGGGAACTCTTTTCAAACTAATGTCTTATCTTTCTTAGTGCCTCAAACTAGATCCGGTTCAGATATGTTATAGTGAGTTATATGAGTTTATTTTAGTCTCCCCAAAATTGAAATCTATGCATAACTTTTCAAAATACATATTTTCCATGCACTTTAAGAAGACCTCTAGTATTTTTTTTTTTTATAATTTCAGGTTAATGTGAGGGTACAAACAACAAGGCATTCCTTATATTTATGTAAGCCTGGGTCAGAGTATGTTAAGCAGTCCTTGGAGCAGACTCTGTTGACATTTAATTCACATCTGGGAGATGAATAGATTATTTCCCAGTAGAAATGATATTTCAGCTGAGACAAAAATGATGAGTAGGAGTTAGCAGGGCAAAGAGGATAGAGAGAGAAGTGCTTGTTGAAAGTCCTTGGAATGAGAGAGAATATGGGGACCGAGCAAAGTTCAGTACAGGATGAGCTCTGAGTGGCTGAGGGAGGAAAGGTGGGCTAGAGAGAGGAGCGGAGGATAGACTATGCTGTGGTTAAGGATTGAAGGAAATGAGAAGCTGTGAAAGCACTTTGGCCATGGTCAGATTTGAACTTTAGAAAGCTCATTGCTGTAGATTAAAGAGTGATCAGAAGGGGCAAAATTGGAGGCAGGGAGGCTAGTCCGGAGATTGCAGGAGGAATCTAGGGGCGAGGTGGTGACGGCTTGGACCAAAGGGGATGGGTCTGGGTCTGGAGATAGTGGACAGACAGAGGAGATATTTAGAAAGTAGAATCAATTAAACTTTCTCTTTTTTTTTTTTTATTAAATCATAGCAGTGTGCATTAATACTATCATGGGGTACAGTGTACTGTTTCTATATACAATTTGAAATACTTTCATCCAACTGGTTAACATAGCCTTCATGTCTTTATAGCTTTCATAGGAAAGCTATAACCCAATTTTAGCCCAGGAATATGGGGAGAGAGGAGTAGGAAGGGGAGGGTGGGTGGAGGGAGGGTGATTGGTGGGATCACACCTATGGTTTATCCTATAAGGGTACATGTGAATCTCTCTAAACATAGAATATAAATGTTTTAACACAATTGAAATTTCTTAATCTTTCCAGCTGGCAAGCCCTGTCTTTCCACCACCATCTATTAAAAACCTACCCATCTTCAAACTGAAATACTGCCTTTTTCATAAAATTTTTCATGTTGTTCTTCTTTTGGGGGGGATTTTTCATTTTTTATTAAATCATCACTTTGTACATTGATGCATTTATGGGGTTCAGGGTACTGCTTTGATATACAATGTAAAATGTTTATATTGAACTAAGTAACACATCCATCACAATTATACTCATTTCTTAATAGCTTTGAAATGTACCATTGCATCATGCACATTAGGTGCGGTCTCTCCAGATACTCTCCCTCCTCCATATTCCTCCTCCCCTCCCCTCTCTCTCCTCTTGCCTTCCACTTTCTGGACTATAGTTATGTTTTGCCAGTCTTTTTCTTTTTTTTTTGAGACAGGAGCCTCAAGCTGTCCCCCTGGGTAGAGTGCTGTGGCATCACGCTCATAGCAACCTCCAACTCCTGGGCTCAAGCGAGTCTCCTGCCTCAGCCTCCCAAGTAGCTGGGACCACAGGCGCCCGCCACAACGCCCGGCCATTTTTTGGTTGCAGCCATCATTGTTGTTTGGCGGGCAGGCTGGATTCAAACCCGCCACCTTGGGTGTACGTGGCTGGCGCCTTAGCCACTTGAGCCACAGGCGCCGAGCCTGTTTTGCCATTCTTCATGTTGTTCTTGACCCATTCTCTACCTTCGCTGAACTTCCATAGCAATTTATATACTTACGTTGTGACCCTGCATTTCGGGTTTGAATTACAGTAAAACCTCTATAAATTGACCACCGAAGGGGCTGTAACAAGCTGGTCAATATAAGAAGCTAGGCCTCCTGTACTGGTACCTGCACTTAAAGAGGTGGTCAATGTAGGGAGGTGGTCAACTGTGGAGGTTCTACTGTATTATTTATATTTGAATCAGACTTTTTTTTGAGATAGAATCTCATCTCAAGCTGTCACCCTGGATAGAATCCCATGGCATCACAGCTCACAGCAACTTCAAATTCTTGGATTTAAGCGATCTCTTGCCTCAGCCTCCCAAGTAGCTGGGACTATAGGCACCCACCACAACACCTGGTTATTTTTTGGTTGTAGTTGCCTTTTTTATTTGGCAGGCCCGGGCTGGATTCGAACCCGCCAGCTCCAGCGTATATGGTTGGCACCCTAGCCGCTGAGCTACAGGTGCTGAGCCTGAATTAGATGTTTTGTCTAAACTAGATTTTGAGATTTCTGAAGACCAAAGCTGTCTTACTTATATTTCCCTTCACAGGATGCTTTGCATGTATAGTTGTATCCAAAAAATACTTACTGAATGAATTGTATTCACTGTGTTCTGCAGGCAACTAATATTGTGCATTGTACTTTTTCCACAGCAGATCTTCAGTTATGAATATTCAGTGAGCTTTCAAGTCAAGGTCTACAAATGGATACAGAAAAGGCCTTTTATGTAGACAGAAATTTTAATATTAAAGGAAAATTCAGTATTGAATTTCAATATTTAGTATGTTTCCTTTTACTTTCAGGGCAATTCCCCAGCAGTTTTGTGGAAATTGTGACTCTTCCCAGTCTGAAAGAGGGAGAGAGACTGTTTGTCTGTATCTGTGAATTTACATCTCAAGAGTTGAATAGTCTTCCCCTCCATCGAGGTAAGCAGCTCATCAAAGAGTAGACTATTTGGAAATTAGATTGATGCAATTTGGCCATATTTTATTTTTTGAGAGTTTCTTTATACTCAGTCTCTACCTTTGTTCTGTATACTTTTTTGCCAGTGAATATTGGGAAGGGAGGTGGAAACAGATCAAGGGATTATAGCAGGAAACTTATTTGTCCTTATAGCTCTCCCAGTAGAGGGCTGTAGTCCATGTCAGACCAGCCCCAGATTGAACAGAGAAAGGACAAGAACATAGTGGCTCCTGCCAGAGATGTGCAGACTGTAATCTGGTAGCATGGCTGTCTGGCTGTCTGAGAGATTCTTAGGAAGACCTGGGCATCTTGAGTCATCTATACCAGGACTGACTCAAGGTCAGACCAGGTCCTAGAATCTATAGATCTTATCTGGACTACCTTTTATTTTATTTTATTTTATTTTATTTTTTTGAGACGGAGCCTCAAGCTATCCCCCTGGGTAGAGGGCCGTGGCATTACAGCTCACAGCAACCTCCAACTCCTGGGCTCAAGCGAGTCTCCTGCCTCTGCCTCCCAAGTAGCTGGGACCACAGGCGCCCGCCACAGTGCCCGGCTATTTTTCGGTTGCAGCCATCATCATTGTTGTTTGGCGAGTCCGGGCTGGGGATTCGAACCCGCCACCTTAGGTATACATGGCTGGCGCCTTAGCCGGTTGAGCTATAGGCGCCGAGCCTGGACTACCTTTTAACCAATTAAGCTTAGTGAGCTTAAAGTTGTAAGTAAAATCCAAAGGAAGAGGGCGCAGGTCGGGGAACACATACGGGAAGAAAGGAGGGAGGGAGGGAGAGAAGGAGATGAACTGATTATGGGTAGTTTTATCTTGTTCTCTGCTCTGTGATACTCTACTGCCAAGAAACACACTGGCCAGTCAGCTTTCCTACTGTGCCTTTCATGTCTTGTTCAGCCCTATGTGTCTTCAGATTGAAGGACACCAGCCTTTGAGGCTGGGCGAAATTATAAATGTGCCTATGCAATTTGTATTTTTCTAGGAAACTTAGCTAAGGCATAGCAGTGATTTTAATTCTTGTTTTCTATATATGACAGGTCACGTCAATAGGCATTAATCTTGCTAGTTGGAATGAGATGACTAAAAAAATAAAAGTATTGGGGTAGCGCCTGTGGCTCAAAGAAGTAGGGTGCTGGCCCCATATGCCAGAGGTGGCGGGTTCAAGCCCAACCCTGGCCAAAAACTACAAAAGAAAAAAAAAGTACTGTTTATTTATCACATATAGTTTATCAGACTTGAGTCTAGGCTTCCCAATTTTCAAGTCTAGTGCTTGAGATGGCCCTTCTACTACCTAGACTGAAAGTTGTTTTTTCCATTAGATCAGCTCATGTGTAGTGTACCTTCCTATATCCCTGTGCTCTGGTACTGCTAATCCTGGTCCCTGTTGTATCTTTATCCTTCCTTAGGAACCCTCAGTGTAGCTTCTCCTCTTGTGTGTAAACAAAGCATTGGCAACAGAACATGTCAGGAGGGGACTTGGAGACCTTAAGAATATGTGAGAGTTCCATTGTGTTTTACCAGCTGCCTTTTTAGTTAATTGTCATTTATTTACTTTTAAGAAGCATCATTGGGGGCGGGGCCCGTGGCTTAAGAAGTAGGGCGCTGGCCCCATATGCTGGAAGTGGTGGGTTCAAACCCAGCCCCAGCCAAAAACTGCAAAAAAAGAAAAGAAAAACATTAGGATTAATAACAGAAAAAATTATGTACAGTAGAACCTCCATAGTTTACTACCTCCCTACAGTGACCACCTCCTTAAGTTGACCTGATTTTCGTAGACTGGACATGCACCACATGTACACATCAGTACAGGAGGCCTAGTTCCTTATGTTGACCACTTCTGTATCTTGACCATTCATTATAGTCCTTTGGGTGGTCAGCTTATAGCAGTTCTACTGTATATATCTGGAGCAGGCAATACAGCTTAGGAGATAAGAATTCTGACGACCTTAGATATATATCCAAGTCCACTACTTTATAGCTATAACTTTGAGCTAGTTACCTAAGCCTTAGTTTTCTTATCTACAAAATGAAGATGATAATACCCACCTTAGAATAATTTAGGGGATTAAAGGAGGTTATACATACAAAGTGTCTGGCAGTAGGTAAGCACTTAATAAATATTAGTTATTTTTATTAGACTTAACTTAGGTTCTTGGGTTTTGTGAGGACATCCATTTTTCCAGGGAGATTCTGTCTGGAATTAGAACCACCAGCGGTTCTTCCAGCAGGTGTCACTCTTCCTCCTTTTCCAGAAGCTATCCAGTTGCAGACGGTTCCTTGTGTTTTGGGTTATAGATACACTGAGAAACAGGGCTGTTTCTTAAAGGAAGGGTCAGTACAGATGGCCAGTGCCCCTGACTGTCCTAAAAAACAGAGGAAAAAAAGTGGAAAAAAAAAAAAAACCTCCCAGAAATGAAACAAGAGAGTATGACAAAGAAAAGACAGAGAAAAGAGGAAAAAAATTAATATTATGGGGAATAATGGAATATCACTAATATTAATAATTGACTCCCATAACACAGAATACTTATCTCATGCTTATATTCTCATGTTTCCAGGCCATCTCCTTCCCCTAAACAGAAGGCCAATAATAGATAAATTAATAGGCTGGATGTAGTGGCTCAGGCCTGTAATCTTAGCATTCTGGGAGGCCAAGGCCAGTGGATTGTTTGAGTTCACAGGTTCGAGACCAGCCTGAGCCAGAGCGAGACCCTGCCTCTAAAAATGACCAGGCGTTGTGGTGGTCACCTGTAGTCCTAGCTACTTGGGAGGCTGAGGCAAGAGAACCACTTGAGCCCAAGAGTTTGAGGTTGCTATGAGCTATGATACCATGGCACTCTACTAAAGGCAATAAAGTGAGACTCTGTCTCAAAAAAACAAACAAATAAATAAATTGATAGATAGTACTTATCAGTCAAAGCATATGTGTTGTAAATTTAAGGTGTGACTCTGAGATAGCAGTATTAAAGTCCTGACATGGCTCAAGTGGAAGCCTAAATATAATAAGATCCTATATGTGGTCAGTCTGCACAAAGCACATAGTTCCTGGGTATTTAGAGAGAGCCAGGGAGGATCCTAATTTTGCAGTCAGATTGCTTACCTCAGGTTCTAAGGAGATCTGCATTTGTTTTTATGGTTTTATGATTAATGTATTTCCTGTTCAAATAAAAAATCCAATCAGAGGAAAGAAGCAATGTGGCTGGGATTAGTTGTGTGTAAACCAAAGGCTCAGTCCAATCCTAAGGGTCACCACACATCAAAATCCACTAATGCTATTCCAGGAGCTCCTCATATTATGTTTCAAAAGTCTGGAAATGACGACTAGGTAGCCTTCATCCCTAAGGAATCACCTAGGCCCCCAGAGGAATAGTTTGCATGACTCTTTCTGATGAAAATGAGACTCATGCAAAGAAACTCAGTAATGGGGCTATAGAAAAGGTCCTTGAACAAAATGATCTCTAAAGTGCCTTTAATGGTCTAAAGTTGTGGGGTGTTTTTTGAAAATTCACCTTTATTATATAGAAATAACTAACAAAATGACAGTCTGCCAGGTAATAAACCCGATCAAAACAGTTATCCTATTGAAAATAGACAGGAGGCTCGGCGCCTATAGCTCAACCGGCTAAGGCACCAGCCACGTACACCTAAGCTGTCGGGTTCGAATCCCCAGCCCGGACCCGCCAAACAACGATGATGGCTGCAACCAAAAAATAGCCGGGCGTTGTGGCGGGCGCCTGTGGTCCCAGCTACTTGGGAGGCGGAGGCAGGAGACTCGCTTGAGCCCAGGAGTTGGAGGTTGCTGTGAGCTGTAATGCCATGGCACTCTGCCCAGGGGGACAGCTTGAGGCTCTGTCTCAAAAAAAAAAAAAAGAAAATAGACAGGAAAACAAGCCTTATTATAGGTTCATGGAGATGTAGCAAAACTATGAAAATATTATAATTCTATAGTTTTAAGAAAGGCAGTTCATTTCAAAACCAGAAGAGTGGGAGTTACGGTATGCTTTTATTCTCCCTGTCCACCAAGGCCCATTGTGTCTGAACAGTAGTCGGTCACCAGTTGAGTTCCCTCTGGCTCTGATGATGGATGGCCTTAAAACCAGTGGGGAAAAAATTACTTGTAATTCTCAGGCCTCCAAGCTCTGACCAATGGATATAGAATCATTAAAAGAATGTAGAAATACAGGACCAAAGCAAAATAATAACAAATCTGTAAAAATACATTGGGTACCTCCCACTAAATCTAAAACCTAAGGTCAAGTGCTGTATAACATTTAAAAATGTACAAGTCAGAATAAGTGGCACAAGTGATAATTTCTTTTGTAGGCTGTAGGTAGCCAAGATGAATGTGAACTTCTAAGGTTCTTTTAGAGAAGCATGCACAGCCATGACTGGATGATCTTAAACGCAAAGTTGCATTAAGGTGAAAACATAAGAATTGCCTTTTATCTGGGTGTAGTGGCTCATGTACCTATAAACCCAGCACTCTGGGAGGCTTAGGTGAGAGGATCATGTGAACTCATAAGTTCAAGACCAGCCTGAGCAAGAATGAGACCATCTCTACCAAAAATAGAAAAATCAGCCAGGCATGGTAGTGTGTGCCTGTAGTCACAGCTACTCTGGAGGCTGTGGCAGGAGGAGTTCAAGGTTACTGTGAGCTAGACTGATGCCATGGCACTCTATCCTGGAGCAACAGAGTGAGACTCTGTCTCTAAATAAATAAATAAATAAATATATATATTCAGAAAACTTCCAGAGCAAACTTATTTCTTATATATTTTGGGTAATAATAATTGGATTGTTAGGGAGGAACCCATTGCCAGTAGGCTGTTTGTGGTGCTTCATATTAAAAGTTTGGCCCAGCAAAGGATATGATAAAATTGGCACATGTATAATCTTAATTTGTCTTGAATCATGTGTTAGGCTGGAAGAAATAATGTCTGGAGACAAGATTTT